CCATAAAGATTGTTGGTTTGACATTCTGAAATTTGTCGTTGGGGGGGGAGGGGCTGAAAACAACTGATTGAGGCAAGAAAAATCTGAAATATATAATAAGAATAATTCATAATGAAATGTATTCTTTGATAATTTTCATAATTACTGATTACACATGAATATAACGGGGGGGAGATGATTTCCTATATTCTCTATATTTTTGCCTTTCATTAATCTTGAATTATGACTGAAAGAAGCTGAATGAACAACTTATATGCACAATAACTTTAAGAAAAATCATTTTGAAAATTCTGTATTTGTCTACATAAAAACAAGAATTTCAGAATGTTGATAACTAAAAGTATTTATTGTAGTGACAATAATACAAAAAAAAAACAGTATTTCCTGGTAAATTCGTGCAATTTAAACCCAATTAATATAATCAACCTTTCAAAAACCTAGTGGTCTTATTTTCATTTCTGTAAATTTCAGTGAATAATAATAATATCCCTTCCATTGTTGCCAAATAATACCATCAGCATATGAACTATGCTCCCCTCCTTGGTATGGTCCATTCAGGTTGGAATGGTGACATGACTGGTACCACCAGGCTCCCTTGTAAGCAGCAGCACAGTTTCCATTGTCAATATCATTGTCGCTGTCTATGGTACTAAAACTATGATTCCTGTGATAACTCAGTGAATCACCTGATAGAGATAAGAAGTAAAATGTCATTTTATTTGCTAACTAATATTCCTGTGAGAACATGATTTGATGTATACATATTACGTGTCATGTAAACATAATGAGTGTTAATGTTATGTGACATGTGAGCATGATTTGACGTATAATCATGGTGTAAATCTGAACATGTTACCTGCAAACATGTGATGGGTATGTATTATGACGTGTAAACATGAAGTGACATGTAAAAGTAATATGATATGTAAACATGGCATGTGAACATGATTTGATGTATACACATGGTGTAAATGTGAACATGTGACACGTACGACCAGTGTGAACTTCATGTGAGCATAAACATGGTGTGACATTTAAACAATGTGAGTGTAAACAGTGTGACGTATAAACATGTGAATGTGAACATGGCATCACTGTAAACAGGCGAGTGTGAAGATGTGACTGTAAACATGATGTGTGTGTGAACAGCATGAGGTGTAACATGATATTAGTGTGAACATAATGTGAGTGTGAACATAGTATGGGTGTGATCATGATGTTGGAATAAACAGGCGAGTGTGAACATGGTGAGAGTGTAAACATGATTGACTGTAAACATGGGGATATGTGTAAACATGGTTTGACGTGTACTTGTGCGTACACATTGGTTGAGTATTTTAAATTCTTGGAATGTCTGTGTCAACGTCATCGTTTGGGTGAATATATCACAACTGGCCAGACACCACTAAATGAGAATAACATGACCAGTATTAGTATTCGTGATCATAGCTGTGTTATTAATGTGAAATACTGATCATGTGGTATTTCACGTTAATATACATAATAACCCAGTAAGATATTTCCCAGATCGCATAATATAGGCACATTGGCGCTAATGTTTCGATCAGTAATATGTTACCGAAACCATATACTATCGAATGAACATTAAAATGATTGTTAATTTATATTTTCGGAGGTGTGGTTAATGCTCGTGTGTAGAAATATTTAGTTTTAATACAACCCAATAATACGTACCGGCATCTCCACCATATTGCCCCAGTGTTAACTTATATTTACTAAATCCATCACCAATTCGAAAATAATCATATTGAGCATGCGCCGTGTTGCCATCAAAATCTGCCATATCAATGCGGAGTTCGTATGTTTGTTGGTGCGTAAGACGATACAATTTGTCATTTCCAAGCCAAAATTCCGAATTTACATTTCCAAATCCACTCGCATAATGATGCCAGTTTCTGAAAAAATCTAAACTGCCATCCATTCGTCTCTGAAATACCTGCAACAACAACGTGGAATGTGTATTCGTTAGTAAGCCCGGGTTAGTAAGTAAGTAAATAGGGAAGTAAACATTGTCCAATGATGACAGAGAAACGTACTTATCTGAAATGCACTTAAACTATTAAAATTCAAAGTATCTTTAAGATTTAGATATTTTGTAATCATTTAAGCAAATATCTTCTTTTAAATGACTGCCACGTGTGTGATCACGATGCTGTTACGCGTGTTTCTACCAGACGTCTCGCCCTCTATGAACGAATCCCAGTTGTATGTAAAGCGCCAACAGCTGCAAAGTAATTTAATGTACAACGTCGGTATATAGTGTATATGTTATGTATTCATTGTTCTCATTTTCACAATGACCTTTACAAATTGATACTAATGACACAGAATCGTACCAACTCGAACTGGATAAAAGAAATGTTTATACCGTCCATCCTCCGGAATCTGTCTGCATGTCACAAAATACTCTGAATGGTTCATCGTCGTCATCTGGCTGTACTGTGTAGCTCCCACTCTCTCTTGTCTCGGGACTCGTATGTAAAATATCATAACAGTCACGTGGTTCGGGGCCTACATATAATTCACAAATTTGAATAAGAATATGGTTTGATTTTCAAGAAATGTCATTGTATTCTCAGCCACGACTTATTTACACCATGCCAGGGCTGAACCAATGTATCGGCTGAGCTGAACAACATTCACATGGGAGTTCACCTGGTTAACATCACTATTGTGTAAAAAATTCTTTCATTTTAGATTATTGATTTGAATACACATAGAACTTTGAGCTTGTCTTGTGAATGCAGTGGCTATCCGTTCCATGTGGCTTAAATGTATTTATATTAAATTCAGTAATACGATACAGAAATCGGCAGGACGCCATATGCGGTAAAATTGACAAATCTTCCATTGTAAAACTCTGAATTGAAGAACACCTCATTCTTACTCTCATAGCAGCGAATATAAACGCGTCACTATTAAAATGGTCATCCATGTTTTTCCTGTGATCATTTAGTGGTCTCATTTACTTACATGCATTAATTGTCTCTTGTGTACACGTCGACTGCGACACAGACGGTGTATGATGCCTTGAATTAATGTCTTGCGCTTTGATGGCAGACAGTAAATACAGAAACGCTACAATTGAGAATTGCATAATGCGTGGTCTTCGCGAGCGGAATAATGAAATCCAAGCTAGAAGACTGAATAAACAAATAGTCTGCAGGACACGTTATCTGGGGTCAATGTACACAACATAGATAATCTGAGTTTAATAAACAATAGAGGATATACAAGTATTAATTTTATGACTGGAAAAATATTATATAGGACATGGAAAGATTATATTCACAAGTTTTCAACATTGCTGACGACTGAAAATGAAAAGTTATCAAATAAAACAATTACAAACCAATGCAAAAATAACGAGCCTGAAAATACAATAGAAATGCAAAACAATAGTAAAATAAAATAAAATTACACAATATTATTTAAAGGAATGTCTGTGTGATTGAGATATGAAATCGGATTTTTGGTGTTGTATGAGTGGATAGCAGAGTTTTAAAAAGAAGGTCATATGAATGTGAAATGACCAAGTATTGTTTACATTTGGTAATGAGTTTGATTTGTATGTCTTGAATAGTTGGTCAACCAAGAGCTGATCTAGTAACGGATACAGGTTCATGTCTTTTCAAGCCACAACAAGGTTTCAATGTATTGAAGTCTGCTTTTTGATGTAATGCTGCAGTTATAATACACAGTGTCACAGTGGTCAACTTATGAGAATATTGTAACAGTGATATTATTAGTATCACCATACATTGGTGAAGGATATTGCAGTCAGGTTTGCAGATCATTAATGTAATGTGCAGTTTCCATACCAATACAAGTATGTAATTATAATCTAATGTGAATTTGAGTATGTAGTTTATAATCTCAATATGATTACAAATATGTAGTTTATAATCTCAATATGATTACAAATATGTAGTTTATAATCTCTATATGATTACAAGTATGTAGATTACAATCTCAATATGATTACAAGTATGTAGTTTATAATCGCAATATGATTACAAGTATGTAGTTTATAATCTCAATATGATTACAAGTATGTAGTTTATAATCTCAATATGATTACAAGTATGTAGTTTATAATCTCTATATGATTACAAGTATGTAGTTTATAATCTCAATATGAT